AGAGAGAGAGAGAGAGAGAGAGAGAGAGAGAGAGAGAGAGAAGGAGAGAGCAATGTATAAAAAAACAATCAAAAGAAAACGCCCTTTATTCATTGTAATAGATTGATTCGTTATGATCGTTTTCAAACAAGAAAGATGCCAAGTCATGCACGGAAGTAAGTAAATCTTCGTTTAAATCTTTTAGAACTCTCTATGTCCACAATAAGTGAAAACAAGACCAACTTATGCAATTCGCATATCTAACCTTTACGGTCCCTGACGGTCTCTGTATACGGCGGCAGAAGATATTCGGAGACGTCTCCGGCGAGCACCCAGGAACTATTCGAAGACGGACTCCCGCTCACTGATGCACTGATTCTTTTTTAATTTCTTTTTTTTTTTGGGGGGGGGGGGAGGGGGTCAAACTGCGTATCGGTTGCAGCAGATCACACAAATACCCACTAAAACTGTCCCAAATCATTATTTTCAAGAAAATTTCAAACCTAACTGCAAAAGATCAAATTGTGGGTTAAAACAGGGGGGCAACCCCCAGAATTTTTTTACTTGTTCTAGACGCACAAAGCATTTTGATTGGTCTATCTCTGTCGGAGACGTCTCCGAATAGGTACTGCGGTATACTGCTCGACACGGGTATGACGAGTCAGAGAATGGCAGCTATTTCAGTTCCGAGTCCATTTAAGCTCAAGAGTGTCGGTTGCAGAAAAGCTTGTAAGGCGGAGCCTGATACAATAACACTGAGTTCTTTGAACTTTCTTCGTATGTAACACAACGCGGTGGAATCACACGCTCGTCAATTTTTGGGCATAAAGAGTTATTGGTATACCGGTTATCTTACAACCTTTTCTTTTGTCTTGTTTTAATGAAAAAGATACCAATCTATCGGGAATAGAAATCGAGATACATGTACATTTATTTGTTGTTGGACGAGCTGGAGGTCGACTGGTGTCAGGGTTAAAATTGGCGAGAAAATTGCTGCCAAAATGTGGTGACCTCTAAAGCTTGAGTGTCCTTGGTAACTGCAAATTACTTTAAAATTTGTTTTACCTTTGAGCAACATTTCCCAGTAAACATCCATGCAGGAATATGTTTTTAAATGGGCACAAAAGGTGTTAAACCCCCCCCCCCCCAATAAATAAATAAATAAATTATAAACAAATATAGACAACAAACTAAATCGATGTTTTTTTTCGATTCTATTACATTAACGAGTGCCTGATTTCACAAGATGCCACACGTATGATTCCTTTAAAGCACCCCCCCCCCCCCAACACACGAACAAAATAAATAAATAAAATAAAATAAAATAAAATACATGTAGAATTAAATAAGATAAATAAATACATTTTAAAAAGTAGGGGTTTTTGTGGATAGAGCTATGAGTACTTTATCAACAGAGAATTTACGCGGAAGAAGCAAACTTTAGCAGTTCTGTCTCGTGTGAAGTTCTTGCACGTTAAGTATCCCTTGGCTGTTCTAGAATTTAAAAGAGTGGCCGCCGTCCGGGCAAAACTCAAAATTTATTTTAACTCCAAAACAGAAGCCTTTCTACTCAGTATATTATCGAAAAAACTCTTGGTTGCCTGTCGGTCAAGGGCTGATTCTACGTTCTTGGTAGACAAAGCGAACATGTAGGGCAACGTAAAATCAGCTGAAATGTGAGATGAAGATTATGTATTCGCTCACTCCCGGAGCTCTAACAGGAGCCCGAGAAGAAGAAGAAGAAGAGGAAGCAGAAGAAGAGGAAGAAGAAGAAGAGGAAGAAGAAGAAGAAGAAAAAGAAGAAGAAGAAGAAGAAGAAGAAGAAGAAGAAGAAGAAGAAGAAGAAGAACAACAACAACAACAACAACAACAACAACAACAACAACAACAACAACAAGAAGAAGAAGGAGAAGAACAAAAACAAGAACAAGAACAAGATAGATGCATCGATAGCCTGTCTTCTCTCGATCTAGTCTTCCATTGATATATAAAAAATAAAGAGATCATTGAGGTCTTTTCAAAACTAATGTCCTTACATTCGTACTATTCTATCTTTTGTTTCCAAGCCCCACCCCAACTGTGACCCGGACAATGCTGCTGCATTCAGAGGAGGCCACAGGGGACCAGATCAGGCAGAGCCAGGCGATATTGTTTCAGGTGTGTAGATTTAATAATAATGTGCACTCGGGTTTTCCCCTCAACACATTATGATTAGTTATTTTTCAACCTTTGTATACTAATAGTTGTATTAGCATAAAAGTACCCGTTCTACGAACGGAATAATAACGAAGAATTATTAGGAAAGTTAAAAAGAGGAAAAAGACTGAAAACAGGAAAGAAACAAAACACAAATATTTTACCTTGAATTTATCTATTTAGCACCCCCTCTTGACTACCTCTAGGGGTAAGACTTCTTCTCCCTCTTCGAAGGCGTGGCATTTTCTCCAAAAGTTCCTGCTCAATCACTTTTTAAAAAAAGAGTTAGGTCTACATGCCAATTGTTGCTTCCTAGAAGAACCTAATCTAGATTCTAGATCTAGCCTTGATCTCGAAGACATAGGCCAATAATTGAAAGAAGGAGCCTTAGCCCATAGATAGATCTAAGTTTAGAAATTCATATTTTTAACAACCGACAGGCATCACAGAGATGGCCTAGATTTCTAGATTTAATCACAGTAGGAAAAATCAACTTTCAAGAATACTCTCATGATTCTTGATCTCGATCTAGATTCACCTGCAGCCGAGTTCTAGACTCTAGATCTATTCATAGCAGGAAAAAAAATCAACGTTCAATACTTTGATCATTCTTGATCTCGAACTAAGATTCACATAGATCTAGCCTAGATCTAGATCTAAGAATCTATAATGCTCAGCAAGAAAAATCCACTTTCAATATTTAATACGTTATCGAAATATAATCACAGATCTAGATTCTACTTTCATTTCGTGATTTTTCTTGATCTCGATTTATCTCGATACATTAAGTAGGCCTACGGTAAGCTAAAAGTACTCTTTGCGCTTTCGACGACACCCTCCTTGTCACTCTCAACACCCTCCCTCTGGTAGTGCTTTCTGGCCTCCTCTATCTCTTCCTCTCTCTCTCTCTCTCTCTCTCTCTC